GGCTTGCGTTGGGATTGAAGGTGGGGGGATGAATGGGGTTGGGATGGGGCTATGGCTGGGAAGGGGGCTTCGGTGGGAGACGTGGAAGAGGTTGGAAGCGGAGTGATGTTTCTTCACCCTCAAAGGTGTCACTCACCTCTCCCAACCATGTCTCCCCCGATCTTTCCTCCTCCAACTACTGTCTCTCCCACCTCAGCCGCTACATAGTTCACCTGGGGGAGCACAACCTCCAGAAGCAGGATGGCTGTGAGCAGACCCGGACAGCCACTGAGTCCTTCCCCCACCCCGGCTTCAACAACAGCCTCCCCAACAAAGACCACCGCAATGACATCATGCTGGTGAAGATGGCGTCGCCAGCCTTCATCACCTGGGCTGTGCGACCCCTCACCCTCTCCTCACGCTGCGTCACCGCTGGCACCAGCTGCCTCATTTCCGGCTGGGGCAGCACGTCCAGCCCCCAGTGTAGGAGCTCCAGAGGGGAACCCGGCAAGGGGTGGTGGGGAGGGTGTGGTCATGATTGTGGAAGGGTTCGGGGGATCAGAGATGCGGTTCGCAGTGACGAAGGTGGTATAAGTTGAGAGGATGAGTGGAAAACGTCAGGACAGGGGAGGGTGGGTACCGAAGTTGGGGCCTTGGAATCAGACAGACGGGATATGCAATCATACGTCCATAATCTCCTGGTTGCAGGACCTTAGGCAAGCGGCTTCACCTCTCTGAATCTTGATTTTCTTCTCTATAAAATGAGAATAATTACACCCACCTGTCAGGACTGGATTAGAGATAATGTATATCAAGCAACTGGCATAAATCATTTATTGGATAGCAGGTTGGGCACAATGGCTGATGCCTGTAATCCCAGCACTTTGGGAGGCCCAGGTGGGCAGATCACCTGAGGTCGGGACTTTGATACCAGCCTGGCCAACGTGGTGAAATCCCGTCTCTACTAAAAATATGAAAATTAGCTGGGTGTGGTTGTGTGCGCCTGTAACCCCAGCTAATCAGGAGGCTGAGGCAGGAGAATCGCTTAAACCCGGGAGACAGAGGTTGCAGTGAGCCAAGATCACGCCACTGCACTCCAGCCTGGGAGACAGAGCAAGACTCTGTTTAAAATTAAAAAAAAAAAAAAATGCTGGATAGCACTGCTGTTGCTATTGTTACAAGAAGAGAGGTGCGTTGGCTGGGTCTAAGGACAGGGATTCACCCAGGGGCTGGGTCACAGCAAGCACTGCATTAGGGGCGGTGGCAGGGGGCTCACTCCCACAGCCCCTCCTGCTGTTTCCACAGTACGCCTGCCTCACAGCTTGCGATGCGCCAACATCACCATCATTGAGCACCAGAAGTGTGAGAACGCCTACCCCAGCAACATCACAGACACCATGGTGTGCGCCAGTGTTCAGGAAGGGGGCAAGGACTCCTGCCAGGTCAGCGGGCAGGGCCTGGGTCTCCAACCACACCCCCATCCCATCCCCAGCTTCAATGACATCCTTACCGACATCCACAATTTCATCCCCAACCTCAACCCGCCTCCCCCTGCAACTCCCAATCCATCTCTTCCCCTGTTCCCATTTCTGATCTCAGCACAAACTTCAGCTCCATCCCCGTTTCCAGCTCCAGCTTTCCCCAAACTCGTTTTTGAGCCTAACCCCATCCTTTATCCCACCCATAATCCCAGCCTTATCGCCAAACCTATCACCATTCCCGGTACCTCCCCATCCTCAGTCTCGGCCCCACTCCTAAGCACCGTCCCCACCTCCTCCCTGGCGAACACCGTGCTCAACGCTTTCTCTCACCAATGTTCTCTCTCCCCGTGCCCAGGGTGACTCCGGGGGCCCTCTGGTCTGTAACCACTCTCTTCAAGGCATTATTTCCTGGGGCCAGGATCCATGTGCGATCACCCGAAAGCCTGGTGTCTACACGAAAGTCTGCAAATACGTGGACTGGATCCAGGAGACGATGAAGAACAATTAGACTGGACCCACACACCACAGCCCAATACCCTCCATTTCCACTTGGTGATTGGTTCCCGTTCACTCTGTTAATAAGAAACCCTAAGCCAAGACCCTCTACGAACATTCTTTAGGCCTCCTGGACTACAGTAGATACTGTCACTTAATAATCAACCTGGGGTTTGAAATCAGTGAGACCTGGATTCAAATTCTGCCTTGAACTATTGTGACTCTGGGAATGATAACATCTGGTTTGTTCTCTGTTGTATCCCCAACCCCAAAGACAGCTCCTGGCCATATATCAAAGTTTCAATAAACATTTGCTAAATGAGTGAATCTACGGAGTGCTTACTATGTGCTAGACCCTGATCCACTGGCTTTATTTTATTTTATTTTATTTTATCTTAAGACAGAGTCTCGCTCTGTCACCCAGGTTGGAGTACGGTGGCGCTATCTCTGCTCACTGCAACCTCCACCTCCTGGGTTCAAGCCATTCTCCTGCCTCAGCCTTCTGAGTAGCTGGGATTACAGGTGCCTACCACCACATCCGGCTAAGTTTTGTATTTTTAAGTAGAGATGGGGCTTCGCCATATTGGCCAGGCTGGTCTCGAACTCCTGACCTCAGGTGATCTGCCCGCCTTGGCCTCCCAAACTCCTGGGATTACAGACGTGAGCCACCGCGCCCGCCCAGCTTTTATTAATTAAATTAAATTAATTAATCTATTTATGAGACAGTCTTGCTCTGTTGCCCAGGCTGGAGTGCAGTAACAATCACAGCTCATGGCAATCTCAGTTTCCTGGGCTGAAGTGATTGTCCAGCCTCAGTCTCCAGAGTAGCTGGGACTACAGGCACATGCCATGAAGTCCAGCTAATTTTTTTATTTTTCGTAGACAGAGGTCTCAGTATGCTGCCCCGGCTAGTCTCAAACTCCCGGGCTCAAGCAATCTGTCCTCCTCAGCCTCCGAAAGTGCTGGGATTACAGGCATGAGTCGCTGTGCCTGGCCTCCAAGCACTTTTAAATGTATCAACTAACTTAATCCTCACAAAACCCTATGAGATCAGTACTGTTTTCATACCTATTTTATAGATGAAGAAAGCAAGGTGATCTCTTTTCTTTTTTTTTTTTTTTTTTTTTTTTTTGAGATGGAGTCTCGCTCTGTCGTCGCTCAGGCTGGAGTGCAGTGGCGCCATCTCGATTTACTGTAATCTCTGCCTCCCGAGTTCACGCCATTCTCCTGCCTCAGCCTCCCGAGTAGCTGGGACTACAGGCGCCCGCCACCACGCCCGGCTAAGTTTTTGTATTTTTAGTAGAGACGGGGTTTCACCGTGTTAGCCAGGATGGTCTGGATCTCCTGACCTCGTGGTCCACCCGTCTCGGCCTCCCAAAGTGCTGGGATTACAGGCGTGAGCCACCGCGCCCGACCTGAGGTGATCTCTTAACTACCAAGTGATGTGCCTGGAGTAAAGGCTCTGTTTGTTTCCTTTCCTATATAACTGTGCATGCAAAAGTATAACACAGTAAGTAAAGAAGTCAGTCAGCTTGCACATACTAAGACCTAACCAAAGGAGTTTATCATTGTTTTTCTCCAACTTCCATGATAGGTAATTAGGTAGTGGAGACCTCTGCTGGCCAATCTGGTAGCCACTAACTGCACATGGCTCTTCCAATTAAAATTACATAAAGCCAGAAATGTAACTCCTCTGTCTCATTTGTGGTATCTCCAAGGCTGATATTTCCACACATGGCTGGTGGTGTCTGGATTAGCTAGTGCATATAAAACATCACTGCAGAAAGTTCAGCTGGGCAACACTGAGTTAGATGGCCTCTGAAGAGGATGTCCCACAGAGAGAATCCAGAACTCACGATCTTTTTTTTTCTTTGAGACAGAGTCCTCCTCTGTCATGCAGGCTGGAGTGCAGAGGCACGATCTCAGCTCACTACAACTTCTGCCTTCCAGGTTCAAGCGATGCTCCTGCCTCAGCCTCCCTAGAAGCTGGGACTGCAGGCCCGCGCCAACATTCCCAGCTAATTTTTGTGTATTTTTAGTAGAGATGGGGTTTCACTATGTTGGCCAGGCTGGTCTTGAACTCCTGACCTCATGATCGGCCTGCCTCGGCCTCCCAAAGCACTGGGATTATAGGCATGAGCCGCCGCGCCTGGCCAACTCAGGATCTTTTGGGACGGTTGGCTCACCTCGCAGGAGAGGTGGCTGGCATGAGCAGTAGGAGCCCAGAGAGGAACCAGGGCCTTCTGGTTGTTAAGTGGACTTGCTGTGTGACCTCGTGTGAGTCTGCCCTCTCTGAGCCTCTCACGCCTCACCTGAGATGAGAGAGTTGGCTGAGGTGATGCTGACGCCCCTCGCAGCTTTGACCTCCTGTGATTCAGGGGCCTGTGTGGCACCTGGTGGCACACAGATGGCAGGGAGGATGTGAGATGGCTGCACACGGGTATGAGGCAAAGCCACAGCCCCCCAACACACACACGGGCTAGTCACTGGGACACACACAGAGCTCACAGCCACAGGGCGGGCGTGGGTTTCCCTCTTTCCTTGTTTCTGTTTTTCTTAGCCTGGGCGCCTCCCTCCCTCCCCCTCTCTCTCTCTCTCTCTGGCTCCTTTAGCCTTGGTTTGTTACAATCTCCCTTTCCAAGCCAGCTTCTGTCCCTCCTACTCAACCTGCTTTATCTCTGGGCCTTCCTCCTTCCTCTTCCACATTCTGGCTTCTCACATTGTCACTCTAGGTATGCACTTCCCGTTGATTTCCTCTTTCTCAGTGGCGTCTCATCCCGCCACCCCCAGCCTTCCTGGGGACATGAACCCTCTCCCTGCACCTGGGAAGCCTTCTTGGAACCTGGATCCGGGGAATCCCCACGGAAGCCAGTTCCAAAAGGGATGAAAAGGGGGTGTTTCGGGCACTGGGAGAAGCCTGTATTCCAGGGCCCCTCCCAGAGCAGGAATCTGGGACCCAGGAGTGCCAGCCTCACCCACGGTATAATTAGACAGAGGGAAAGGGAGGGAGGGAGCCCGGGGGTGGGGGTAGGGGAGGGCGGAGAAGCTTCCGGACTCCTCAGGGTTAAAAGGGAAGGTCCGGCCAGGGGTCCCTGGGCAGAGGATACCAGCGGCGGACCACAGGCAGGGCAGAGGCACGTCTGGGTCCCCTCCCTCCTTCCTATCGGCGACTCCCAGGTAAAGCTAGTTGCACCTCACCTGGGTTGGGGTGGATTGCGAGAGGATGGGTGGGGACCCCCGGGCCACAGGCAGTAGCCTGCTTGGAGCCTCGGTTTCTCCACCTGCGGGACGCGGAAGTCCCCCCGCTGTAAGGTTGAGAAAGAGGCTCCCACTGGCTACGAGCCTCGGATCCCCACCCCTCGCGAGAAGGAGGGGGAAACCCCGGGCGCGGCGTGGCTGCAGCGGGGGCAGCCCGGGCGCGGAGAGCGCTCCCCTCCGGCACAGGGAGGACGGGGAGATGCTGCGAGGGGCGTCATTAGGGTAATTGCGCTCATTACCGCTGTTTCAGCCCGAATCTCCCATCTGTCCGCCCCTGGGGTTATCGGCTGCAGGTCAAAAGGGTGCTCGCGGGCTGGGGTGGCCCAGGCTGGGCGAACGAGCACGGCGAGGTGGGGGTCTCTAACGGAGCATCTATTTTAACCCGCCCCCCCCCACACACACACACCCTAGCAGATCCTGGCCATGAGACCCCCGCACCTCCACCTCTCCGCCGCCTCTGGCGCCCGGGCTCTGGCGAAGCTGCTGCCGCTGCTGATGGCGCAACTCTGGGGTGAGGCGGGGGACAGAGGGCCGCGAGAGGCGCGGGTGGGAGGCGCGGGCGGGAGGAGAGTGTGCTCCTGTCGCCAAGCCCCGCGCACCTCTCCTCCCCCGGGACCGCAGCACCCACCCAGAGCTCCGGAACAGGGCCCGCCCCCAAGTCAGCTGGGCCCTTCTGGCTTGGCCCCTGGCTGTCCCGCCCCACTCAGGCCCCGTCCGATTTCTGCCACCCGGATCCCCGCTCTTCCGTGGACTTTTCGCCGAGTTCTTTCTCCTCCTCTTACACCGCCCCATCCCGGCCCCGCCCCATTTTGCACCACCGTATTTTATCCTGAGTCTTGCCTTACCGCTTTTTTGCCCTCTCCCCTCCCATTTTTCCTTCTTTCTTTTTTCTTTTCTTTCTTTCTCTCTCTCTCTCTTTTCTTTCTTTCTTTCTTTCTTTCTTTCTTTCTTTCTTTCTTTCTTTCTTTCTTTCTCTTCTCTTTCGTTCGTTTGTTCTTCCCTTCCTTTTCTTCTTTCTTGTTTTACTTTCTCTTCTTTTTCTTTCTTTCTTTCTTCTTTCTTTTTTCTTTCTTTCTCTCTCTTTTTCTTTCTTTTTTTTTTTTTTTTTTTTTTGAGACAGGGCCGTGCTCTGTTTCCACGGCTGCAGTACAGTGGCCCAACCAGAGTTCACTGCAGCCTCGACCTCCTGGGCTCAAGCATGTTCAGTCTCCCAAGTAGCTGGTACCACAGGCATGCACCACCACACCCGGCTTTTTTTTTTTTTTTTTTAAGACACGGTCTCACTCTGTCGCCCAGATTGGAGTGCAGTGGCCCAATCTCGGCTCATTGCAACCTCCACCTCCTGGGCTCAAGCGATTCTCCCACCTCAGCCTTCCAGGTAGCTGCGACTACAGGCACATGCGTCCGCGACTGTGTGTGTGTGTGTGTAGAGACTGGGTCTCACTGTGTTGCCCAGGCTGGTCTTGAACTCCCGGGCTCAAGCGGTTCAACTGCCTCGACTTCCCAAAGTGCTGGTGTTACAGGCGTAAACCACTGCGCCCCGCCCCTCTCCCGGTTTTCAATCCCGTTTTGTTATTCCCACCTCTTCTCCTCCCTGCTCCCCGAGTTCTATCCCCTCTCCCTTACCTCCCCGCCGCGTTCAATCCCCGCCCCTCTATCTAGAACCTGCGGCGTTCTAGCCAGCTCTCTAGGCACGCTGCGTTCATTCCCGCCCTCCAGACCCATCCTACTCTGTCTCATTACTCCACGCTACCCTATCCCAGCTTCCTTCCACTTTCACGCACTTCTTCTCCTCCCATTCCCTTCGGTGCACACGAAACCCCCAATATTTCCCTACCACCCTCCCGTTCTGGCTGCGTCCCCCGTCCCCGAACGCAGTCCAGTCCCACAGCCCAGCTCCGACCCCAAACCCAGCCCTTGCCCTCCGTGCTCTGATCCCATCTCCTTTCTTTCTCCAGCCGCGGAGGCGGTGCTGCTTCCCCAAAACGACACGCGCTTGGACCCCGCAGCCTACGGCGCCCCGTGCGCGCGAGGCTCGCAGCCCTGGCAGGTCTCGCTCTTCAACGGCCTCTCGTTCCACTGCGCGGGTGTCCTGGTGGACCAGAGTTGGGTGCTGACGGCCGCGCACTGCGGGAACAAGTAGGAGGAGATCCATCCCCGAGGACGCCACGGGGGGGCTGTGGAGGCGGCCTCCAGGGAGGAGCGGGCAGGGCCGGGGCACTCGGAACTCCCACAGCTGGAGGTGCGGTCCCTGGTGTCCTTCCAGCAGGAGGAGAGACAGGGCTTGCGCTGTGGCCGCCAGGGGGCGGTGTGGTCCTTCTCCTCATTTTCTGGGCCCGTCACTCTTGTCCCGCTGATTCTCCTTGAGCTTTAGGAGGAAGTGGTTGCCCGCAACAGACAGAAGCCAGGGTCCAGTGTGGTCAGGAATTTAGAACTAAAGGAAAAGGTTCACTTCGTGAGTCCCCACTGAAGGAGGAAGGGCTGGGTATTATCACAGAGAAAATGTGGAGTAGGTCCGGGCTCCGTGACTCACGCCTGTAATCCCAGCACTTTGGGAGGCCAAGGCAGATGGATCACCTGAGGTCAGGAGTTCAAGACCAGCCTGGCCAACACGGTGAAACCGTGTCTCAACGAAAAATACAGAAAACAAACAAACAAAAAATAGCTGGGCGTGGTGGTGGGCGCCTGTAATCCCAGATACTCAGGAGGCTGAGGCAGGAGAATCGCTTGAACCTGAGGGGTGGAGGTTGCAGTGAGCCGAGATCAAGCCATTGCATTCTAGCCTGGGTGACAAGAGCAAAACTCCGTCTCAACAAATAAAAGGAAATGTGGAAGGCTTACCTAGGTGTCCAGGCCCCCAGCCCCCTCAATTCCTGCAGATCCTTGAAGCTCAAACACCTGATTTCTCCTCTCCACGTCCACTGAGGTCCGATTCTCCCCCAAGACCCTCTTCCCTCAGACCCCTCCTATCTCCGGGCCCCAGTATCTGCCCTCACCCCACTGCCCACGCCCGCTTTCCCAGTCCCTATGAAAGGTTTGCCTTCACATGCCTCTTCCTCCCCCCAGGCCACTGTGGGCTCGAATCGGGGATGACCACCTGCTGCTTCTTCAGGGCGAGCAGCTCCGCCGGACCACTCGCTCTGTTGTCCATCCCAAGTACCACCAGGGCTCAGGCCCCATCCTGCCAAGGCGAACAGATGAGCACGACCTCATGTTGCTGAAGCTGGCCAGGCCCGTAGTGCCGGGGCCCCGCGTCCGGGCCCTGCAGCTTCCCTACCACTGTGCCCAGCCTGGAGACCAGTGCCAGGTCGCTGGCTGGGGCACCACAGCCGCCCGGAGAGGCAAGAGCTGGGGCCCTGAGGCTGGAATCTCAGGAGGAGGGGGCTGGGGGCCTGAACCCCTGGGTCTGAGGAAGGACGGGCTGGGGACTGGACTCCTGGGTCTGAGGGAGGAGGGACTGGGGTCCTGGATGCCTGGGTCTGTGGGTCTGAAGGAAGGAGGGGCTGGGGACCTGGACTCCTGGGTCTAAGTGGGGAGGGGCTGGGGCCAGGATTCTTGAGTCTGAAGGAGGAGGAGCTGGGGCCTGGGATAGAAACAGTCTTGTATCTGGATTCCTGGCTCCCCAAGGATTGGGGGCTGGACCCAGGGATTACTGGCATATTCTCCCTTTAGTGAAGTACAACAAGGGCCTGACCTGCTCCAGCGTCACTATCCTGAGCCCTAAAGAGTGTGAGGTCTTCTACCCTGGCGTGGTCACCAACAATATGATATGTGCCGGACTGGACCGGGGCCAGGACCCTTGCCAGGTAGAGTCTGAACAAGGAGAGTCTCTGACTCCTGGGAGGGGAGGACAGGGAGGTTATGGGAAAAGAGCAGACCCTGTCCCCGCTCCCCAACTCCATTCCCAAACCCATCCTTGACCCAACTCCTTCCCAGTCCTAACCCCCTCCTCATCCCTAACCTGGATCCCATTTCCATCCTAACCCCACCCCATCCCCATTTCCAAGCCCGTCTCCATCCCCTCACCTTCCATGAACTACAATCCTAACCCCAGTCTTACTGCGTCTTCATTCCCATCCCCCAGTCAACCCCCCATAACCTGAAGTCAACCTCCATTCTCACCCTCCAGCCTCATACCTAATTCCAACCCCATCCCAACCTCGTCTTTATCCCAACCCAACCCCTTCCCTCCCCACCTTCAAGTCCACAGGCTGTGCCTGAAGGAGTCAGGAAAGGCTTCTCAATGAGGGGACATTTGTGTAGGGGTTTAAAGGATAAGTAGGAGTTCACCAGTGATCCTTCTGGGATCACTTTTGCCCCAGATCCCAAAGTGACAGTTCTCATGTTGGCACATTTATTTGATCTCTCCTTCCTGCCACCCCCAGAGTGACTCAGGAGGCCCCCTGGTCTGTGATGAGACCCTCCAAGGCATCCTCTCATGGGGTGTTTACCCCTGCGGCTCTGCCCAGCATCCAGCTGTCTACACCCAGATCTGCAAATATATGTCCTGGATCAATAAAGTCATACGCTCCCACTGATCCAGATGCCCAGAGGCTCCGTCGTCCATCCTCTTCCTCCCCGGTCGGCTGAACTCTCCCCTTGTCTGCACTGCTCAAACCTCTGCCGCCCTCCACGCCTCTAAACATCTCTCCTGTGGCCTCATTCCCCCACCCATCCCCATTCTCTGACTGCACTGAAGCTGAAATGCAGAGAAACATTATTCCAGAAAAGCAAGGAAGCCGGTCATCGCCCAGTCTCTGAGAGCAGTTATTGGGGTCACCCAACCTGACTTCCTCTGCCACTCCCTGCTGTGTGACTTTGGGCAAGCCAAGTGCCCTCTCTGAACCTCGATTTCCTCATCTGCAAAATAGGAACAATGACGTGCCTACCTCTTAGCCATGTTCTGAGGAGACTATGATATAACATGTGTATGTAAATCTTCATGGTGATTGTCATGTAAGGCTTAACACAGTGGATGGGGAGCTCTGACTAAAGGTTACCTGTTGTCATGATCTGACCACATCCCAGTGAGAGCATTTCCAGGGAAGAAGTGCACGGGGTAGCCCCCAATCCCAACCCTGCATCCCCATCCCTTAGGGATGATGGAAGAATCATTTTCCCCACCCTAGTTCCAAGTCCCAGGAACCACCTTTTAACCACTTCCTTCTCATCTCCCACTGTTTCCCACTTCTGGTTCCACCCAACACCAGTTCCTCCTGTCTTGGTAGGCACTAGGCTGGCTGTGAGTCATATAGCACCTTCTCTGCCTTCATGGGGCTGCTGGAACTCAAGGGACCTCACCTTGCTTCCATCCTAGCCTCTAAGACCAGAGGACTGAGGGGACAGTGAAGATTGGGGAACTCTTGCCACCTCAACTGCCAAGTTTGTGCCAAGAAACCTCCCTCTGACATTTAGGGGAAAAATCTTTGGTTTGTCTATTATTAATTGGCTGTGAGATTTTCGTCCTGAAAACTTGGGAGGAGGAATTTTTTGACTGTCTCTGAAATTGGGGGCGGGGAGGGGAGTTAATACACAGAGTCCAGGTAAAGCTAATAGAAGTTTGAGTGTCTACTGGGTGCGGTGGCTCACGCCTGTAATTCTAGCACTTTGGGAGGCTGAGGAAAGTGGATCATCTGAGGTCAGGAGTTCAAGACCAGCCTGGCCAAAATAGCAAAATCCCATCTGTACAGAAAATATAAAAATTAGCCGGGCATATAATCCCATCTATTTGAGAGGCTGAGGCAGGAGAATCACTTGAACCTGGGGGGCGGAGGTTGCAGGGGGCCGAGATTGCGCCATTGTACTCCAGCCTGGATGAAAGAGCGAAACTCTTTTTTTCTCAAAAAAAGAAGAAGTTTGAGTGTCTCAGCTTATCCTGAACTTTGAAGCAGTAACATAAGCTAGCTGAATATAGGCACAATAGAAATTTCCCATTAAGCACTGGTTTGTTTGTCCTTTCAGTCACCAATTTATGGAGCATCTAGTATGTGCCAGGCCCAGTGCTGGGTGCTGCGGACATACGTAGGGGTGATCACAAGGTCCCTCCCGCTGCAAAGCCCACAGGAGGTTGATGTACAAGGTCTGAGCACAGAGTCTGGTACATAGCTCCCTTCCGTGGCCTCTTTCCCATTCTGCCCCCATTAGCACACCCAGGAAATGTCAGTCAGTCATATCAGCTGGGTTTGTCATCCAAAGATCAGAAGCAAGGTCAGTGCAAACTTGAAAACTCGATTCATTTTTAAAGGCAACTCACCCATCCCTTTAGTCACTCCACAATGTTTATCGAGCCACGTCTTATGCCAGGCCTCAAAGATGAATCAGACCAGGCACTACCCTCAAGGAGTTGCTAGTTAGGTCGGGGAGACAGGCCAGCCTTACATTCCTGTCATTCGGGTGTCACTCAAAAGTCACCTCCTCCAGGAGGCCTTCCTGAATTGCCCAGGCTAGAGGAGTCCACTTTTGGTCACCCAGTCCTGATGCTCCGTTTATTTTTTTATAGCACCTATTATACCTGAAATTATCTCATTTATGTTTACTTGATAATGGTCTATGTCACCCTTCCCCACAAATTCTGTGAGGGCAGTGATTCAGATATTTGTTCACTGTGATTTTCTAAGCACCTGCATTGTGCCCGGCACACAGAAGTCACCCCCATTGCTATGTGAACACAACACAAATAGATCAGTGCTGTAACAGAAGGGGGTATGGGGTGCACCACATCAAGTCCACAGGCTGTGCCTGAAGGAGTCAGGAAAGGCTTCTCAATGAGGGGACATTTGTGTAGGGGTTTAAAGGATAAGTAGGAGTTCACCAGGTAGAGAAGGAAATGCATTTCAATCACTTTGCTGTATGACTTTGAGCAAATTACTTGAATGCTCTGTCTTCCTCAGTTTTCACTCTGTGAAATGGAGACACCTGCTTAATTAGACTCTCGTGAGAGTTAAATGAGATAGGCTGGGTGCAGTGGCTCACACCTGTAATCCCAGAACTTTAGGAGGCTGAGGCAGGTGGAATGCTTGAGCTCATGAGTTTAAGATCAGCCTGAGCAACATAGTGAAACCTCGTCTCTACTAAAAAAAAAAAAAAAAAAAATTAGCCCTGCATGGTGGTGCACACCTTGTAGTCCTAGCTACTCAGGAGGCTGAGGCAGGAGGATTACTTGAGTCCAGGAGATTGAGGCTGCAGTGAACTATGATCATGCCACTGCACTCCAGCCTTGGCAACAGAGACCCTGTGTCAAAAATAATAATAATAATAATTAAATGAGGTAATATACATGCAAAGTTTACCTAACACCAGGCACTGATAACACAGTTGGTAAAGGTAGCTATTAAAATGTTCCTTTCTTTCTTTCTTTCTTTTCTTTTCTTTTTTTATTTTTTATTTTTATTTTTATTTTTATTTTTGAGAGTCTCGCTCTGTTGCCCAGGCTGGAGTGCAATGGCACAATCTAGGCTCACTGCAACCTCCGCCTCCCAAGTTCAAGCAATTCTCCTGCCTCAGCCTCCTGAGTAGCTGGGATAACAGGCACCTGCCACCATACCTGGCTAATTTTTGTGTTTTTAATGGAGACGGGGTTTCACCATACTGGCCAGGCTGGTCTTGAACTCCCGACTTCAAGTGATCCACCCGCCTCGGCCCCACCAAAGTGCTGAGATTACGGGTGTGAGCCACTGCGCCCGGCATGAGCCACCGCACCTGGTCTAAAATGCTCTTAATAGCAGTTAAGGTGGCACTTAGCACATACTGGATACCCAGTCCCCAATCTCAAGGGCTTCCCTGTCTGGAAAGGGAGTGGGACAACTGCAGGCAAGGGTGAAATGCGCTGTGATAAAGGCACCGCAGGTTTCTGCAGGGGATGGATAGACATTGAAGGCTTACCATGTGTCAGACACCGTTGTGCTCCATGTGTGTAAATGTGCTTAATCCCCACAACAACCCTCATTATTACTGCTACTTAACAGATGGAGCAGGCCGGGCGCGGTGGCTCACTCCTGTAATCCCAGCACTTTGGGAAGCTGAGGCGGGCGGATCACAAAGTCAAGAGTTCGAGACCAGCCTGGCCAACATGGTGAAACCCTAGCTCTACTAAAAATACAGAAATTAGCTGGGCATCGTGGCACACGCCTGTAGTCCCAGCTGCTTGGGAGGTTGAGGCAGGAGAATTGCTTGAACCAAGGAGGCAGAGGTTGCAATGAGCTGAGATCGTGCCACTGTACTCCAGCCTGGGTGACAGAGCAATACCCTATTTTGGAAAACAAAAAACAAAAAAACAAAAACAAAACAAAACAAAACAAAACAAAAAAAGATGGAGCAAACAGAGAGGTCTGGTGACTTGCCCAAAGTCACACACCTCATCACTAATCACACCTAATCATTGAGATTTGGACACATGTGGTTCAGTTCCAGAGTCCGTGCTCCAAACCATGGCAACATAGTGAGAGAACATTCAAGGGGAGCCCAGACCCAGCTTCATAACCAGGCCTGTGGGCAGGAGAAAGTGGAAGGGATTGTAAGTGCCCAGGGCAGGCAAAGATGGACTCTGCCTGAGGAAACCAGAGATTTCCTGGAGGAGGGAGCATTGAGGTTGGGTGTTGAAGGGTGAGTAGGAGTTCACTAGGAAAAGAAGGATATGGAGAAAGACATTCACTCATTCAATGAACATCTCCTGAGGACTTCTGTAAGTCCTGTTCCGCCTGGAACTGGGTGATGCTGGGACACAGAGATGACTCAGACCTGAGCCCAACCCTCCAGAAGCTGTCCACCTGGTGAGAAGGAATGATGAGGAGAGAGGCAGGGAGGATGAGGCGATGGAAAGGACAATGGGGTGGGGGACAGGGAGATGGATGAAAAAGATACATAGCAAATGTTCTCAGGATTTGGCAAAGATCAGGATGTACTAAGAGAGAGCACAAGGCACTTGCTTCCTGGAGGGTTGGGCAGCTGGGTCCTTGGGTGGTGGAGCTGTGGGGAAGGGGGCAGGTTATGACAAGAGTGGGTTAATCCAGATGGAACCAGATTTCTCAACATTCTAGGAGAGGGCCTTGTCCTTGTGGGAAGAGGCCCAAATCCCCAGGGCAGGGAAGGTTCTGAGAGGTGTGTAAACCTGTGCAGCTGCCTTGTGGTCTCTGCCTGTCTCCACCTGGGTTTCCCTCAATCTTTCTCGTGTTCTCTCTCCTCCTCCCGCTCCTCCTCTCACCTGGGGTCCTTCTGTGCCTGTACCTCCCTCTCTTTGTATCTTCTGCTCTTGTGTCTGAGTCCTGACTCTGTCTCCCACCCCTAGCCTGCTTTCTGGTGGTCCTCCTGCACATCCCTCCAGCCCACTCTGGGAGGTTGGTCTCTGCACACCACTGCTTTGTCCAAAATAAACCTGCTGCGCCCCAGGACCTTAGGCCTCAAGGATCTTCCTACTTTTCCAGGACACAAAAGATTCTGTATCTTGTAGCCTAAGGTGATGAGGAATGAGGGTTCCCACTCTGAAGACCCCAGAGGAGGTGCCCACAACCTCTCCACACCCCCAGCACTCCTCCTCCATTCAGTCAAGCTCTGGCCCAGCAAGCCACCAGCTCATCCCAAAAGGGGGTCCCCCTGCACTTACCTCCTCTCCCAAGGCCCCTGTCACAGCCCCAGGGCTTCCCCCTCCCTCAGGGACATTTCCCAATCCCGATTAATCACAGGGGCGGCCCCATGAAGGAGGAAGGAGATGGCATGGCTTACCATAAAGCAGCACTGGGCGCCGGATGCACGTTCTAGGATCCAGGTGCCCAGGGGTCATGAAGCTGGGACTCCTCTGTGCTCTGCTCTCTCTGCTGGCAGGTGAGGCTCCGGGCTGGCTGCCCCTTCACGGCTGTACTAAGGTCATCTTGCTCTTCCCTCGTCCCAGGCTTCTGCCTCCTGCCCCTTAGGCTTCTCAGCATCCTCTCCCTGCCCTCCCAGCCTGCTCCTCGCTGACCCCTTTGTCCGTCGTCCCCACCCCAGGGCATGGCTGGGCAGACACCCGCGCCATCGGGGCCGAGG